GGGTACGGGAATTTTCAGCTTCATCTAATCGTTGCCAGAAAAAATTTGTGTATACTACAAGTACGTAACCAGTTATTTTCCTCGAAAATTTTCCTCTTTCCTCTTCCTTTCCGTATACCTCAAAATATGGTTCTAAGCCGTACAAGAGAAGTCACAATAGTCATTGCACTTTTAGGTGAGATTGCATCAGTAGTCGGGACAAAATTTGATTTTACCGAAGAAAAACCGCTTCACACATTGTATGACGACGAGAAAAACATTGACATCGACAATGATTTGATACTGAACACAGAGAAGCTCCCAACGAGGTTACTCTCGTAAGTTTGGGACACTGTTTAACAATTTCACCTTTCTGGAATTTCTATGAAAAGCAAGTGGACTCTAACTATCACTATCAGCTGTTATTTAGATTATACTCCCCTGTGTCGGGCATTCGAATGCAAGTGTCGACTTCTTATCCAGTCCTGCATATTTATGGCTCTAAACATCTGAACTGCAAAGGAAAAAACAAAGAAATGTATGGCTCAGGCAAAGGTTTAGCTATCGAACCACAGTTCTACACCGCTGCTTTGAATTATGTGAGTGTTTCGAACCGGAAATCATGTGTCAAAGCATATGTCAATGGTCTCACATTTAGCCACACTTTCCCAGCATCGAACTGACTCCCGAACAGCCATACTTGAAGGAAATTATCCATTCGTTTGTAGTGGAAAGCGCACCGGAAGAATTTTGAAATGCCATCATTTTTAACGTTGTTTGTACACACGGCTTGTCCATTGAAGCAGAGTTGGCGAATCATGACTTAAATCTGTTAGAACTTCGAACAATTGAATAAATTTTTCATTTACATGATATTTGTCATACCAAATAAATAAAGATAAATCTTTCATCTTAGCAAATACCTCGCTTACACAAGATTCCTTGAAAGGCTCTCCGCATGCCTGTTTGAGACAGGATCTTCATACCTTCTGACAGATTGACCTGGATTCATCCATCCACTGCAACTTCGACCTACGTCCTCTTAATCTTTTAGTTGGTGCTAATCTAAGTTTGTAATATAGCTAACCACCTTTTGCACAGACTGCATAACTTGCAATCTCTTCCATGAACAAACACTAGAGCGAGGTCTCATCCGGACTTGTAGTCCATTCAAAGTCCACCTAGCACACACGTACAGTCTGCTTCAGTTGGGAGCAGGCCGATGCGTTG